ACCTACTCTCTTTTATGTAAAATGTTTTGCAATAGCCAGATTTTTTTAAAGAACAACAACAGCAACAACAAAAAAAACCTCCATAAGATTTGGAAAAGGACACTGTGCTGATTCAGAAAGGTATCTGTGGAGACAGATGTGCCTGGGGCTAGGAGTTAAGAATTATTCAAAATTCATCATCTTTTATCTTATTCTTTTGTGGTACACACACACTGCACACTTCACTCTAGGTTTAGTTAATGTGTGCTAATTGTTCCTTCAAACAACCACAAAGAAGAGATAACAAATATTATTGCTTTCAAGAGCTAGAGTTCATTCTGGGGTCATGCACCACAAACGTAATAAGCAACAAGCATTTAAGTCATGGTGTATTCTCTAGATCTTATGTAAATGCCACCTTTCATGGGCAGAAGAAAATCATACAGCAGGAGTATTCAGCAGCTAGTGAGTGAGCAACCTGAGACCCCGGGTGCTGTCCCAGCTCTCTGACATCTCAAGAAGGATGAAGTGGCCGTGCAGTCTCTATGCCTGACCACCATACTGCGGATACTGTGCCCAGGATCATAGGGAAACCTGTAGGAGAAGGGATGGGCTGGAGGAGGTACAGGTATGCTGCCAGAGAAATGCACACCACTAGGCAGTGAGGAAGTTATAAATGCATCCTTGCAGATCTGTGCAATGAGGAGCACGGGCTAGAAAAATAAGTGTACAGTGCTACTGAATGCTTATTCTTGAATTTGTTTCTGATTACTTAGCTCACTTCCTATACTCTTATACTGAGTTTCTTTACTTCAATGAAATACTAGCTTCAAGGAATTACAGATATTCTGAATTTTATGTACCAAATATCAGTTACATATAAATGAAAATAAAACTATCAAAACCAAAAAGATTCTATTTTAGAGAATGAACATCACATTTCCTACATAAGAAAATATTTTGCCTTTCTTCTTGTTAAGTTCTGAGTCTGGTTTTCACATGGTATAGAGGCAGTTTATTATATTGTACCAGAAGAAGCTGAGTGGTATACAACAACTGCTCATACACTGAAAAGAACTTTTTAGCAGGGTTTATGGCTTTGGAATTTACCTCATATAGGGAAACTATCTCAACTTGCTGAATGACAAACCAAGTATTATCACCAAATTACACACTACACATTTCCAAAATCTGTCACCGTAGATTTTCAGAGCTGCAACTATCTTTTGTACCTCCTACAACATACTCCACTACAAAGGCATTCACTTATATCAGCAGTTTGCACTGCACCTTAAGGTCCAGATGAGCTGAGTGCTGACTCTGCACTGATTTCCACGGTTTCTTTCCCCCTTGTCTCTGTATTGTTTTGCCCAATTTTACTTTCCATTCTTCAAGCACCTCCCAGATTAATTCTCCTCTCCTGATCACAATTTCAGATCTGGCCCTCCTTACATTCAGCCTCAGCCCTAAGTATGCCTTTCCTTCTTAGTGAGTTGGCTCTTCTCTTACTTGTACTAGAAACACCTTTCATTAAGCCTAGCTTGTAAAAGCTCAAAAGAAAGATGCTGAGGAGCTGTCTAGGTTGGCAGTGTTGGGCCCAGGACAGCTGGGAGCTAACATTCCAGGGAAGATCTGGCTGCTTTATATGTGGGAACAGGCTAAGACAGTCTTGGTACATGTGCATTTTAGACTGCTTTATGGGTTGTAAGAAGATCATGTCTTCTGAATGAGAAGAGAATTGCGTGCTCCTAAAATAGAAAGACTTTTCTACAGACAAGAGAATTCAAATTGCACTGAGAAGGATGGTCAGACACAGAGAACAATTGCCATTGGAACTTAATGATCTTTGAGGTCCCTTTCTATAACTCTGTTATGCTGAGAAATCTTTATCACTGAAGAATTTGCAGCAAAAGTTAAATACCTTTCAGAAATACTCTGGTAGACCTGATCCTATCTTGGTACATAAGGGCTGGTTAACATCAAGGTCCTTATTTTCTAAGGATTATGAAAAAAGCTAGCTGCTATTATGCAAAAATTTTTTACTTCAAAAATTTCAGAGGCTTTTGGTAAGCACGAAGATAAGTGCAAAAGTAATCTGACAATTTCAGGTTTCTGCTCCAAACAGTTAAATTAAAAAAAAAAAAAAAACAAAAAAAACAAAAAACAACCTTCTCATGCACACGAAACAACTTGTTTCTGCCTATCTTTCCTGTTCCTGAAAATAACTGAATTGCTTTGGAAGAAATTTGCCAAAACCTGAGCCTGCATCAGACACCTGGCATTTAAAATTTCAGACGTTGGTTACATTTTGGCATCTTTCTAAGCAATTAAAAGCCGGTACTAATCATGAGAAGAGACAGACAATCTTAGTAATACACAGGCAGGTTTAAAATATGAAAATATTTCCCAATCTGGCTCAGTGCAGATACTTTTATTCACACACCACCATAACTGCTTCTTTATCTTTACTACTATTTTTCTTGGCTTAAATACTACAAATGTTTGACTTCAGTGTCACATAAAGGGAATTTAATTGTTATGCAATTTGATAACAAGGAGTGTTTGGCAAGGGCAGTGCAGCACGTTAAGTCCTATTGTGAGGAGCAGTAAGTCTTAATTATCCTTGGAAAATTACCAAGCCTATGGGTTTCTAAGGAAAAAAAAAAAAACAACCAGACAGAATTTAAGCAAAAGTGTTATGACCTTCAAAAAGTTAAAAGTTATTAGATTACGGACCACACCATACCAGGCACTTTGCTGGTCTCCAGGGAAGCTTACACAGGGTGTTTGCTCACAAAGCAAAGCATATCTGTACATCATTCTGAGCTTTCAGCCTGTAGCTTCTGACACTCCTGCAATTACATCACCCAGTGGCAAACATCTTTGCTATAGCCACCATGCAAAAATCTCTGCTTTAAAGGTATTAGGTATGGAATTTTTAGATCACTGACAACTGCAAATAAGGACTTTAAGGAAAAATCAGATTCAAAAAACTGCTGTTTGAAGGACTGAGACTCATTAAATTATAGCTGATCGAAAGAAAATTAGGGATATAGAGTAAAAAATCTTGTAAGGTGCCAACTTGATAGGAAGAAAAAATGCGTTGTCTTTCTTACGATATGCCAAATTAGTGAGACTGGAATGTGTTTTGAATGAAAGAGAGGAAACTAGTATTGATAATACATAGGTGTTACAAGAAGCAAAACATTTTGATTTTAGAGTCTTGGCACAAGGTTAGGTGAAAATGTAATTTAATGTCATTATCGTGTGAAGGCTAACAAGGATCAGTTAGCTATCAGGTATGTTGCCTCATATGCTAAAAAATAAATGATTCAAGAATGTATAAACTAGTTTGGATGTAGAAAAGGTGGTAAAGAGCTATGCTAAGAAACTAATCTCCAGTGGGAACAAGATAACCCGATATATATACCTTGATTCAGGCATGCTGGTATAATAATCTCATTCTGGCTTACCAGAAGAATATCTATTTGTCCACTAAACTAACCTGGACTACTTGCAGTAAGGATAATATACTTGTATTCTCTTTCATTGATGAAATGTTATTTTTTGACAATACATTTAGGATCTGTGTCTGCAGCTGTTGTGAGGGGGAAGCCTAATAAATCCAAGAAGTTAATAATTCAAATAATTAAAATAATTAGAACTTTACTGAGCAGCTACAGGATTTGTGTCTGACTCACTGCCTAATTATAGTCTTGGCACATCAGAAGGATCTCTCCCTATTAATCTGTTTGAGTTAGGCAGAGTAAGCCATTACAGAGCTGTAACAACCCAGACAGAAAAGCAATTCAGACATTCTATTACTTCCAAAAAAGATCCTTAACTTCTCAAATAGCCATTACTTTCAACACTTTCAATACTTAAAAATACAGAAAAAACCCCAACAAGATGAAAATGGAGTGTGTATTTACATCCATTTCATAGAATGAACCTTTTAGCTCTAGGACCTCTGTAAGAGTGAAAATCTGCTAATTTTGCTTAGTGGCCCATTGCAAATGACTTTTTTTGAATTAGGTTACATGATATTGATAATAAACAGTCCGTTCACGTCATGAGACAATTCTTGTTTACTGATGTGACAAAAGTAATTTAAAACTTAATTACCACTGATGCCTTTTAAAATACAAGTATATTCTATAAAAACCTGTTCTTATACAATGAATTTCTGTAACATTCTTATCAAATACTAAACTACTTACACGGCATTTTACAGCTTAGGGTTTAAATGGAAACTAAATAACTCCACAAAATCTCTCAGAGTGAGATAAGCACCAGTTTTACTCTACAGTGAAAGTACAGAATACTCAACTTCCCCAAAGGGACTATGGATATATGAACACTGTGAAGAGCAATAGCAGGCTGATGATCAATGTGTTTTATCAGCCTTCCTCTCCAGCTGATGCATACACTTACCTGGGTACGGTGCACATTAGAAGAATGTTGAGCAGCCTTCTAAAAAACATCTGGAGTACAGGGTGGCCATAAAGCCACGGGACAGGTGGAAAAATAGCCATCTGCATCAGCCATTCAGTTATGCTACTGATATTCTGCAACTTCTCCACATTGCTAGCTGCTGCCAGCTGCCTCTCCTCCCATATCTATTTCTCCTATTTTAGAAACCAAAATGCATAGATTTTCACTAACCTAGGTTAAGAGACAGTATAAAAGATGACTGTCACTGGAGTGTAATAGTAAGCAAAAACTGAGGGTGAAAGAAGACAGAATTTTGTAGCTGAACATAAATCTCCTAACAGACAAGGCAGCTAGAGAGAGAGCATCATTTTATGCCTCTAGAGATCATTACAATGCAAACAATTGACATGTGGCAACTTTTAAAGGGGCTGAAACAGGACTATGAAAAAGAGGTACGAGTGTGTGCAAAGTATAATGTAAGCCTACCAGTAACATCTGCCAGAATCCTCCACATATTCAGTCAGCATTAGTGTGACATTAAGGAGAGTCACCCCAGAAGACTGTACTTTGAAAAGGAAAGTACTTACGTATCTCCAGACTTGCGGTAGTTTTCTGGACATTCCAAAGACAGACAGCGAAACCCTCCCTGGATGTTAAAGCAGGTCTCATTGAAAGAGCAGTTGTGAGTTTCTGTAACACATTCATCAATATCTGCCAAATGGAAAAAGAAGAGTGGGTTAAATACACGCTTCTCCTCTATTTGCTGGTGCCAGATGATGAAAGTATCATATTATGTACAACAGAATATAGAGTGCAATTAAGCACTATTACAGGATTGGGTAGCAAGGGCAGGAGAACAAAAAAGAAGAAAACTAACCCAAACAACAGGCAAGAACGTGAAAAGGAAGAGCAGCAGTGCCACTAAGTGGACAAGACCTAAATATTTGATGAAATGTCCATAGCATGATGACATTTCCTTTTGACAGTAAGCTTATTTACTTCATTTCACAGTGGGAGTCTTCATTGAGTTGGTTAGAATTCTTTAATATAGCTAGAAAATATTTACTCCGCTCTATAGGAATCCTATAGAAATATTTATTTTTTATAAAATACTAGTCTCTACAGATTTCACATTGGTATTGATTACTTTGGCTATAAGCATGTAGAAAAGGCATGTTTTAAAATTTAAAACCTTCTCAAAACTTTTCAGAACCCCACAATTAAGTTTCCCTGCAGCTATAGGGACGCACCTTGGCAGTTGCGTGCATTGGGTGCCAACCTGTAACCCGTGGAGGGACAAGTACACTGAAAGCTCCCAGGAATATTAATACACCGAAAAGAACAGATATGACCTCCAGTAGGTAAAGCACATTCATCAATATCTGCAAGAAGAAAACAGCATTAATGTACCATGTCTGTATCACGTTCAACCAAGAACATGTGGTATTCAAGCTGTGAGGTTCAAACACTATTCTTGTTTGGAGTAAGGAAAAAAAAAATCAAATAAGGGTGGTTCTAGTCAATAAAGGGTGTCAGGAATAAATGGAGGAGTGAAAATTAAAATCAATATAAATGTCTAAGAGGCAGTCTGATTTTGTTCTGTATATGTGTAGTGACACCTTACATTGACGCATTATTGAACAACTTTACCATGGGGAGAGAGAGAAGTATTATCTGTATTTTTATAAAAGGGAAAATTAGATGTTTTGCCCAAGGTCTTACTGTCTAGTAAATCCCAGACATCTGATTTGTGTTTTCAAGATCTTGTCAGCTGGGTGCCAACCACATCTTCCTAGTATTTGAGCAAAGCCTACTTCAACATTTATTTAGAGCAAGCCAGAAAAAAAAGATATATAAAATACTACATAGTAATATAATGTAATACACAAACATGGCTGTATCTTCACTTCCTGAAGACAATAATAGTTTGTTGATCAGAAAAAAAAGAAAGAAAAAAACCACATTTCTGATAAGATAGAAAAGTATGCAACGACAAAGTTCATTGTAAACAACAAAATGATACCTTGCAAGCACAGGTACTTCTAGACTAAGACCTAGATGGAAGATCTTCATTAAGTACAGTTTCAGTGTTTCACAGGAAAATACCAAGAAGAATCAGATGATCAAATGCAACAATTAAGATTGCATGGAACTGTTTATGTACGCTTTGGTGTGAACAAAAAATGCGAACTCATCCTTTATCTGCAAAGACAGTTCTTACCTTCACATGAAATTCCATCTATGTCACTAAGCTGAAAGCCACGTCGGCAATAACACTGATAAGAGCCATACACATTGGCACACTCTTGACTACAGGGGCTGCTCTCACACTCATTTAAATCTGAAACGCAAAATTAAATATGCGATACTCAAATTTCTTGATATATTTGTGACTCCTGTTACCACACTGAAGCAAAACTTTGAAAAAATAACTAGAAGTACTTGGCTTTGGATGTATTACTCTCAACAGAGTCTGGCAGTATAAGCTACTATGTGCTATATGTTTCCCACTGTCCTTCAAGGCATGTGACTTGGGAGTCATTAGTAACACACTTGCATTTTTACTTCTGGGTATCAGCAATGCTGATTGTGAAGAACTGGTCACGTCACCTAGCCACAGAGCAATATATTGGAACTGTGGACTGCAGTGGCTTTGTTTAATCATAACAGCCTTCATGTAATCAAAGGCACCAAATGGGTTATTTATCATGCTATTCCAGTGCAGTCTTGTGAGCTAAAATCAAACAAAAATAGCTGAACGACAACAGCTACATCTCACACTACATGGTCAGTACATACAACAGCAGTACCTTCACATGACCTGCCATCAGATGAAAGTTTGAATCCCATGGTACAAGTGCAGTAGTAGGAACCAGGAGTATTCTCACACTTGTGAGCACAAAGGCGACCTGGATAGCGTCTGCATTCATTGACATCTGCAATGATAAATATATACAGAGATCTATGGATTGTCTGGCTTCCCTACAGTAGTACTCTGGATGGGAATGTGGTCTTGAGTTTGATTCTTATTTTCCAGATGTCAATTTTCTTGACAGAAAGGGAAGGAATTGCTCAAAATACTAATTAAGAAAAAACCTGGTACACAACTGAATTAACTGTATAAAGAAGAAAATCATTTGATCTTTCAAAGAAATGTTTTGCTTAAGTGCATGTTAAAATATCACAGAAAATAATTACATGCACTCTCATAATCTTATAACAATGTAATTGAGTACATGTTGGCAATACTAATACATCTCCCTTTAAAGTATCAGTATCTTTTCAGTATGGTAGTAGATTTATACAAACAATATAGCAGTCAATTTTACTTTCAGATGAAAAAGATTATGCAGAGAGCAACAATGTTTTTTACACAGGGTCATTTTTTAAAATGCCATTGTTAATAGGTGCAACTTACCAATACAAGTTCTACTGATGACATCAAAAGAATATCCAGACTTGCACTCACAACGGTAATTGCCTGGTCCATTTATACAAACATGTCCTTCACCACATGGCTGATTAGAAGATGAGCATTCATCCACATCTAAAGAAAGAGAAGTGATGGGAAGTATACTTATGAGCATGCAAGTGGAGAAAAGAGCAATATGTTAACCCTTATTTCAGATGCATATTTGTGTGCCCCTTTCATCTATAAAATAAAGTATAAATTCTTACTGCCTTACAATCGTGTCACAAGCTTTCTTCAGTGGTACTTGTGAAGTGTTTTGAAACAGAAAGGAAGACTGATCAAACTACGACCTTCAATAAGAAGATCAGAGTAATAAATGCAAACTTTACAATGCAAAATTTTTACTGAACCAGGTAAACAACCAGCACTTGTGCTGCAAATATTGATAAGCTTGCAAGGGAAAATAAGTAATTTTTGGAGGAAATCAGGTACAAAATTATTTTATTAGGGATGCTCAATATTCATGGAACAATTCTTCAGCTGAGGTAAGATGTCAGAGGACCACAGTCAGTTGTGCTTTGATAAGAATTTACAACAATTAAAAACATGCCGAACACCTCTCTTTGAAAAAGCCACTTTAGCTAAATGCCAGATCAAGGCACGTATGCCTTTCAACTGTATTTGACTATCTTCTGAGAGACATCAACTGGCAGGTGGGCCACTGATAATGCCATTTTGCAGGGGTGATCATCACTTTAATTCTTCTCAGCATGTAGAGTTTTATGAGTTATTTGAAGGACAGAGAGGATCTTTGTCACTGTTTATGTGCTGGGACTGTTATGATGGAAAGAACAGGGTCAAGAATTGATTGTAGAAACAAGAAAAACTTTGGGTAGACTTCAAGAAACATGCCAATATAAACAGGTGTAGTTCATTTTCTTTAAACTGTTTTATTTTTCAGAACTGTTACTTACCTACACATCTCGTTCCATCTTCATTGAGATGATAACCTCGGCCACAGCTGGGTGAGATTCGCTGACAGGTATATGAGCCATCAGTGTTGATACATATCTGACCAGCTGGACATGGCATGTTGGTACTCAAGCATTCATTGATATCTGCAAGAGCACAACAAGTTAATGTAATTATCTACTCCCTGAATGTGTTTCTTACATCCTTCATGGTCTGAAAGGCTCTACTCATGGGAAAGCACAAATTTATGTAATTTAGCCTATGTGATTAAGACTGGGAGAAGTATGGAAAAGCAGTGGAAATTGGGTATAGAATCTGCATTTATTTAAAAGCCTCTGAAAGTCTCCCCTAAAAGCACAGAGATGATCAAGAACTCAGTTTATCAGCTCAGTGAGGTATTCACCATAGATACTTTGCCTTTTCTCGTAATAGGCTATCCATATAAACATGTAAGAACTTGAAGAGCTCTTGTATGTATCCAAAAGACTATGCATCCCTCCGCTATTTATCTTTTTACAAATTAGACATCATATCAGTTTGTGACACGGATACCCTTTACCTATTAAAAACAAAGCCTAAGAAGTAAAACCACAGAACATGCAATGAGATGAAACTAATCTATACTAGAGAATGATGTAGTGCAATGTATCTAATTAAGAAAACAGGAAACTTGCTGTTAACCAAGGTTAGCAACATGCTATTAGTTTGGGGAAAAGGAGTTTCAGAGTGAGAAATCAGTGGCTATGGGAGACAACCTTCATCAAACAGAAATGTTAATGTATCTGTGATCGGGAAGTCTGTAGGAGCAGTTGCTGCTGGTGAGCGTATGAGCCTGTGTCTCATAACCTTCAGCAATGTCCAGCTTCATGTGTGTACTTAGCCTAAAATTTTTCTTCCTACATCACTGAGACATTTTGTACTGTGGCACTGCTACCTGCTCAAGAGTTACTGTTTTCCAGTTGGTATGGTATTAAGCAAAGTATTCCTTTGCTGGAAATTTTTCATTCTTTTTCCCTCCTACTGCCACATAGGGCAGCCCTTGATTCATATTTTGTAAAATCCACCTGTAAAATTGTTTTGGTGATTATTTTATTTCAGGGGGTGTAACTATTACTGCTGCAAATTGGTGTGGTTTTACTAATGTCAGTGTGGGAATGCTAACTCCTACAGCCATAGATCTAGTGTGACCTGTGGCAGATGTATGTCTTCAAAGAGTTTATTGTGCACAGTCATCAGCTGCCTTCATTTTAAAGGCTTCAATTTTGTTTTCAGCATCAGTGCTGCCAGTGTCAGATTTCAGTGCTGCAGAGAATGAGATGGTCAGGAGAACATGGCAGTGAGCTAGAACTGGCAGCTGCTGCTGCTCAGCCAGTTCCACAAGTTCAAAACATGCTTTGCCGCTGGGGTAATTTAGTTAGGTTGAGACTTGAAAATGATACTTAAGGGAGTAACCAATAGATTGGTAGGTCACAAGACAATTTCATTTAGAGTCTGCTGGAAAGTAGTAATTGTAACTTATTTACAATAAGGTTCTAATTCTATTTTGTAGAAGCCTCAAAATAATTTGACAGGTCTTGGAAACAAGGCACTAGCACAACAGTTTATAAGCACTCATTAAAATAAAACTTTTCTCTACAGTGTATTATAACCAGCCCATCACCTGCACACAGTAAGATTCTTCATAAGCCACAACTAAAGGGGGATAGGTCTGCTAAGACCTACATATACATATATACCTGTAGAACTTTTGCATGCTAGTATAAACAAAGTTGTTACAGAGGATATCATAACTTACTTAAGTTGTAAGCTATATATAACTTAAAGCTTAGTATAAAAACTAAGCTTTAGCTAAAATTGTTTGGATGGTGGGAGATCATACACATCACTATTTTTTCCTGATTTTCCTTTTCCAGATAAAATCCTCAAAGATTTAACGAAAACTCAAACACAGCCATGTAATTTAAGTACTTCAATTTCAGTTTCGGTATTTAAGTCATATTTAGAAGGCTTTTGTCTGTAAATTTTACCTGCAAGACCAACCTATATCTTTAAAAAAGAGAAAAAACACATAATAGAAAAATACATATGCACACGAAGAATGACTTGAGAAGCTCAGAACTTACCCAGTGAAGCTATAATTTATCTCATAAGCAGCACTTAAGCATTCGCTGAGATAAGAGAATATCTTACCAATACAGTTGCCTAGAGCATCTTGTATAAACCCATTCATGCACTGTAGCTTGGGTCGGCAACGGAAAGATCCTGGAGTATTCTGACAGATAAAATCGGGGGGGCAGTTATGAGTACCAGTCTCACATTCGTCAATATCTGGTACATCACAAAAAAAAATTGTTAGGAGCTTGACAAACATTTTCAACACATTTAAAATACAACGCACAGTTAAAAAATGTCAGACAGATTAAACCCACAGCACATCTTGTGCAATTCAGTGCAGTGAACCGGAATCAGTCTGAACTATTGCCTAAAACAGAATCTCAGGAAAAAACATGCATGTGTGTGTATGTGTTTACTGTAGCACTGCACATTCTCACAACCAAAAGGTTCAAAATTACTATAGAGCAACTGAAGCACCATGCTCAGCAGTGTTCAGTCTTGCTTCAGCACTGTGCTTAAGCACATAGGCTTAACTTTGAAGTCAGCGCAACTTAATTACATGTCCAAAAGTTAATTTTAACATTAAACTCAACGTGGACTTTGTTCATTTCTTTCAAAAGGGAATTAGTTGGCCTTGATTCTCATCCCTACTAAGGTCTCCTTAAATTATTTTGCTTTAAAATGCATGTGATTTCTGTGTGCTTTAATATTCCATTCTACTTCATCATAGAAAACAAATATTTGTGAATAAATTTTTATTCAGACAAAACAGGTAAGGAGCAACAAGGCTTTATCCAGGAATGTAGCCTAGTCCACATGCAAATAACTAAAATTTTGTGTCTGCCACCTCGCAGACACAATAGGAAGAAATCTCCTGAAATTATTAAAATGAAGGCAATTCCTAGCTATAGGATGCCTTATATTTCCCATTGATACAGTGGACAAAACAGGTGAGGCAAACTGCCAAATCCTGTGAGATTCAGGAAATAATTATGGAGCCTGCTTTAAATTTTTGATGGTTTAATACTGAATTGCGATAAATCAGCAGAGTTTTACATGTTGCTCAATTCAGCAATGAGACAAGTATTTTCCATGTCATTTTACGAGGCTTTTAAAAATTATATTCTAATATCATTCCTCTTCTGTTTTCATTACTATTAGCATGATGTTAATTATTAACATTATTAACATATCTTATCCAGATAGGAAATTTCTAAAGCTAACAGCATGCATAATTTAATGACTGTACTCCCACTTTTCCATCAGAGAAATATTGTTAATACTTGCTGGTAAGAAATTTGTTGGCCTAACACTGATGTAATTTACATCAGTAGAAATTTTACTTGAAAGGGAGCAAAGTTAAACCATAATACTTTGAAAATTATTTTCTGCATATTTGGGGGGGTTTCTGTTGGAGTTTGTTCATCAGTTCTTTTTATTTCTGTTCTCACCCATCCCTGCACTCTACTACACTTCACTGATGAGCTCCTATAATAAAGCCTTACTGAGAATTTTGGCTAAGTTCACTTACTCAATGCAGTGTAATTATAGTCTGTTTTTAAACAATTCTAAGCTCTAGAGGAACATACTTCTTCATGGTGAAAATCAATTCTACAACAGATGGAGTTTGCTAACTGTACACTTTGAGTTAGATGCAACTTGGAGTCATTTACTGAATAAATAAAAAGACTTTTTAACCCCTTTTTTTTTTTTTCAAACATAGCTAATCAATAACATCAGTTTTAACCTTTTCTTTTTTTTCTTTTGAAGTTTTACATCCTTAAGAATATTTTGTTTAAGAACTGAATCCCTCTGTAACAAATTTAAACTTTCTGAAGACAAAGCCTGCATCTACCTTAGCATTTTGAAACTGAAACTCCTGGTCCCTCTTTATTTCTTTTTACACAAATCTGGAAGACATCAGTTTCTCTGCCCAGGACGTACCTTTGCAACGACTGTCATCAGTTAGCTCATAACCAGTTCCACAGCTCGTGTCCCGCTGACAACGAAAAGATCCTAATGTATTGACACAAGTTTGTCCAATCCCACAGCTGTGTGTCCCAGTGATACACTCGTTAATATCTAGAATATGCAAAATGAGAGACAAACAAACAAAAAAAATGAGAGTAAACTAAAAGAAAAAAAAAGAAAGAAATCCCTGAGAAAAGATCAGGCCAAAGGTTAGTAGAGGGCATACCTTCAAGCAGTCATTATTTTGAGCATAAGGATGCAAAGAATTGTGTGGATTTGGCCTCAAAGTCAAGCTCACAACATGGCTGCTCATCTATGTTCTCAGGGTGTTACTCAGTAAAGACATTTTGACCCCAATGTTAACAGGACCAATGACTGCTGGCTCACTGTATTTAAGAATGGAAAGAAGTTGTACTAGATGAGAGCAAAGGATCAACAACTATCTGTCTGTGTCCAGCAGCAGACAACTAGAGTGACTTCATGAATGAGGCAAACTTTCAGAAACATTGACTTTGTTCTGGATCTCACACACACATGGCCAGGGGACCACTCAACCCACAGACTGCAACTATCCACTTCCTACTTTCACAATGTTGAAAAACATTTATTTTGGGATTGTTTCATTTTCTCTTTGTATTTATAAGAGTATTTGGCACCCATGTGTGTCAAATGTAAAAATTCTTCCTTTTGGAATTTCACACTAGACTAGTGTTAATCTGACCAATCAGTATCTAATTTATAATCTGAATGTTGTATCAGATCTACTTACTCAAACTCCATCTTCAGTTAATGAGAGAAAAAGGCACTCTTGATGAGTAACACCTTTTATTTTTGAATACTCACGTATTCCCCTGTGATTAATAGTATCAACAACTTTCAAACTTTCTGTCAGCAAGCTGAACAATTCTACTCTTTTTCATCTGTCTTATCATTTACTATATACTACAGCAAAAAAAACAAACAAACAAACAGGTTTTTGTTACTCACAATAAGAAGCTCAAGATCTCCTGGGTCTTTTCTATTCTGAATCCTCCACTTGTTCTATTGATCTAACATTTCACCTTTTCACTACTTCCACCATTCTATTTAAACAGACGTTTTTAAGATCTCACATCCTTCCCCATCTGGGATAAGTAAGAATATTCTGATCTCTTCCAACTGGATTTTTTTTTGTCTTTAAATCTATTCTTGCTCTTTTAAAATAAATTTATTGATAATCATCAAGGAAATGTTTTCAGTTCTTTTACCTTCACAGTTGACACCATCTGGTTGAAGCTGATATCCAACAAAGCACGAGCAGACATAACTGGATCCCGTGTCTCTGCATTGCTGAGAGCAGGGACCACCACCTATTTAGATTTTAAGAAGTCTTATAAAATTAGGAGGCTCTTTACAGGAACTGAAACAAACCACTTGTTTACATGTTGCTTACTGATTTATTTTAAAAGTAACTAAACATACACGTATATAAAAGAAGGAAAGGGCTAAACACTGGAAGAAGTATTTGAAATTACTGATTCTTTTTATCACTAAAGAATACAAGGAGGAAGTAAATTAACCAGTTGCCCATAACTCATCATTTTTAGAACCTGAAGTAAAAATGATGGGAGCTCAGATACCTCCTAAAATTTTGTCTGGGCTTTATATGATTGCTACTGTACAATAGGGATGACAAGAGTCACTGCATTAATTAATGAAGCATTTTCACTATTACATGCATTAGGCTTTATTTTCAGCCTATCAATATTAGAATCATATCCCTGAGTTAGCTAAAACATGTGCTCTTTCCTATTCAGCTGGCAGGAAATATGAAGGAGAGAAGAGAGTATTGTAGGTGATGAAAGGTTTAGAGAACATAAAAAAATGAAGACTTCTTACTGAGATACTAAGGACTTAGTGAGGTATGTGCAGGAGTCACAAAGGATGTGGAAGAGAGCTGCATTTGTTCTGGCAACAGTAAGAGGACACTACAAAATTTACACAAAATTTGGCTTATCGTGAAGAAAACTTATTTTTTCTGATCTTGTTCAGATATAAATTGATCACAGAATTGTAGGAGTTAGAATGGGCCTATGAAGATCATTTAGTCCAACTCCCCTGCTAAAGCAGGTTCTCTACAGTAGGTCACACAGGAAAGCATCCAGGTGGGTTCTGAATATCTCCAGACAAGAAGAATCCACAACTGCTCTGGGGCACCTGTTCCAGTGCTCCATCACCCTCATAGTAAAAAAGTTTTTCCTCATGTTTGTATGGAACTTCTTATGCCCCAGTTTGTGCCCATTGCCCACTTCGTTTTTCTGTTTTTGTTTTTTTTTCTGTTGCTAGGCACCACCTAAGAGAGCCTGGCCTCACATACTTGATTCCTACGCTTTAGGTATTTATAAGCATTGGTAAGATTCCTTCTCAGACTTTTCCAGGCTGAAGAGTCCTAGAGTCCCAGGTCTTTCTGCTTTTCCTCAAAAGGAAAATGCACCAGCTGCCTGATCAGCTTTGATGCCCTCTGCTGGACACTCTCTGGAAGTTCCCTGTCTTTCTTGAACTGAAGAGTCAAGAACAGGACACAGATGTGGCCTCATGAAGGCAGAGTAGATGGGGAGAACTTCTCTCAACCTGCTGTCAGCTCTCTTTTTAATGCATCCCAAGATACCATCAGCCTCTAACCTGTACTGATGTTTTCAATTATTACCCCATGTGTAGGACTCTGAACTTGTTCTTGTTGTACCTCATAAGGTTCTTCTCTGCCTGAAGCTCCAGCCTGCCCAGCTTTCTGGTGTGTCAGTCATTCTTCCCAGCTTTGTATCAGCAATCTTGCTGAGCGTGCACTCTGTCCTTTAATTCAGATAATTGATAAAGATGCTGAACAAGACCAGACCCAGGACCAACCCCTGGGGACCACCAGTAGCTACAGGCTTACAATCAGACTCTGTGTCACTGATCACAACCCTCTGCCAGTCAGCCAGTTCTCAAGCCATCTCGCTGTCCATGCCTCTATCCCACACTTATTAAGCTTACCTACAAGGATGCTGTGAGAGACAGTGCCAAAAATCTTGCTGAAGTCAAGGTACGCAACATTTACTGCTCTCCCCTCATCTACCCAGCTGGTGACAACACCACAGAAGTCTACCATGCTGGTCAAGCATGATTTTCCCTTGTTAAATTCATGTTGATTACTCTTGATAACCTCATTTTCTTCCACTTGCTTGGAGATGACATCCAGAATAAGCTGTTCCATCGTCTTCCTAGGGATGGAGGTAAGGCACCTCTCTCATTCACTATGACCTTCCAAGAGACCAGCCTGGCAATCACTTCTGCCAGATCCCTCAATATTCATGGGTGTTTTCAATGAGGGCCCCTGGATTTGTGCATGCAGAGTTTGCCTCAATGATTTCTAACTAGAAACTCCTCAACCAAGGAGAAGTCTTTCTTTCCCCAGACTCTCTTTCTTATCTCCAGAGTTTGGGATTCCCTAAAGACAGTTTTAGAAATACAGACTGAAGCAAAGAAGGTGTTCAGAGGTCAAAATTGGCTCTCCTGAAATCCAGGGTTGCAATCCTACTTATTGCCTCTCCTCTTCCATATAAAATCCTGAATTCCAGTATCTGATGATTGCTGTATTCAAGGCTGCCCCCAACCTTTACACTCCCAACCAGTCCTTCCTTGTTTTAAAGAGAAATGTCTAGCAGCACACCTCTCCTCACTGGCTCTTCCACCACCTGTATCAGAAGGTTATTGTCCACACACTGCAGGAATCTGCTGGACTGTGTGTGTGCCTCGAAGTACTGTTTTTCCAGCAAACAATAGTGTGACTGAAGTTCCCCATGAGAACCAATGCCTCTGATCATGAGGCTAATTTCAGCTATCCGTAGAAGGCCAACTTTGTCCACCTGATCAGGCAGCCTGTAGTAAACACCTGTAATAATATCACCCATAATAGCCTGCCACTTAATTCTTACCCTTAAGTTCTCCACTCATTCAACACAAATCCCTAGGCAGAACTTGATGTATTCCAGTTGTTCTCTCACATGAGGAGCAACTCTACCACCGTCTTGCTGGTCTGTCTTTCCTAAAGCGTACATAGCCATCCATGACATTTCAGTCATGCAAGCTGTCTCACCATGTCTCTGCAATCACAATGGAATTATGGCCCTGTGATCATGCAGAGATTTCTAATTCTTCCTGTCTATTCCCCATGCTGCATGCATTGGTACACAGGCACTTCAGAGAAGAAAACAGTCTAGGATGCACATTTCCCTAGAGGGATGCAAGAGGATCCTCCATAGCTATACAAACCCTTGAGGAGGCTGGCCTTCTGCTCACAGATGTCACAGGATGCTGCTACAGAAAATCTGTCACTGTTCTGATTGGCCTGGCTGAGTTCCAGATGTTTGTAATGTGTTCCCCTTCAGATTAAAACCCACTTTGCTAAGTCAGTCAGCCTACTGCCAAAGATTGCCCTGCATCTTCTAGACAGGTAGATCCCATACCTCCCTTACATGTTATAATGTTCACAGAAAGTCTTATTGTCATTAAACCCCAAACTCTCATGCCAGCATCAGCCAACATTTGATAGGACATGATGTACAATATGTATCTATTTCTAGCTTTTCCTCTTTCCCTCCAACTGGAAAAATTGAAGAGTTGGCATCAGCATTCTTCTTTTGTGTTCCCATGGCTTTATAATCTTCTTTGATTTTGTCATGCTTATCATGCTAGGATGGCAGCATCCCAGATCTTGGCTGCTGGGAGGCAGCAGAACTCCTGAGACTCCCTGTCAGGCCAGCAGAGGGGAGCTTCAGTGCCTTTTAACAGGGAGTTATTCACTACAAACACATAGTGTTTCTTCTTATGATATCCACTGCAAGCTGCTGGTATGGTTTCTTGTTGCAGGTTCTGGTCATTGGTATCACGACTGTCTGTAGATGTAAAAGCTTCATATCTGAAGCTGGAGGGTAGGGACTGAAGCAGAGACCTATTTTTGTGAGTCACTGGGGACCAAGGTGCTTCTTCTTTTAATATTCTCAGGATAGAAAAAGGGTTACAATCTTCCTATCTTACTATTTGTTTTAACAGTATTGATGATATTAGAACAAACTGTCAGTACAAATCTATCTTCTGTTTTTCAAGGGAATGGTTGGATAGGCATTAAACAAAAAGTATGAGATAAGCACAACCAATGTGGGCAAATGCAGCTATCATTAACTAAAACTTTCAAGTGAATTAAGGAAAACAATTTTTAAAATTATCACAGTTTCTAATGAAAGGTATTAACAGAAACTAGGAAATTTCTTCTTCAGACAAAGCACTGGCAAAGGCAACGACACTACATGGAATAGTCTTGAGCTGAGATGGCCAGCAATTGCTTTTCGAACCTCTGCTAAAAATGTGAGCTCCAGTGAAGCAAAGTAAAATCTATTGTTGAGGTGCTGGCATAATAGAATTTATTTCTTCGTGTGTCATGACAGTGCTCCAAAACAAACTGTTGGAAGTTCTACTTCCTAAGACATTTAAGTTTCCCCCTGGTGAAGCTTGGAAAATCACGAGTAATTTTAGCTTGCCAATTTTATCAGAAAATATACTGCAGACAGAAACTCTCATTTATAATTAGTCACAACAATACGTCTCTTGAAGATAGCTGAATAACTGACAAATGCAACAACAGATTACATCAAGAAATAATGCTAGGAAAATATGTAACACATTTTTTATGTCATCTCTTGTACATCACTGGCAACTAGAGACAGGAGTTAGCACTTGTGTTGGCTCTGACTAGCTAATGACCTAATACACATTTCCAACCTCTCTAGAATTTAATAGCAATCCAACATGCAGCACAGTAAATCATCTCTCCACTGGAATTGAAGTCCATTAAATTGATTTTAACCTGAATACATTTTTTAGTTCTGAAATGCTTGTAGAACATAATACATCATTGCTGTTTTAAGTTTATAGACATATAAATCACACGTGACAAGCAGTAAATCAGAATACTTAGCAGAACAATACCCCAACAACACATTCTTCCCATGAGACAGAACTGTTCAATTAATGAGGACACTAGACACTTTTCTTCCATTTTTTCAGGAGATGCATCTCAAAAGGAAACAAGTCCCATTTTATATCCAATCACTCTGATCATCCCAAGAGAAAAACACTCATATTTAATATAGCATCCATATAGTCTGAAGAATCCAGAGTACTCCATGCATTCAATAAGTAACACAACAGAGGTATTATCAACTAGAAGTTAAATGAAAGTTAAATGTATTAGCCAAGCTTCAGCTGGGTAAGATTTATCTTCATCATGATAGACAATGCCCTCCTTTAAGACAACGGAGGCATCTCATAATGATCTACTATTTCTTTAAAAGGATTCTCAGTCTGTTATTTTTACTCAAAACTAGCTTAGGCAAAAGGTTTTGACTAATCACTAGATCTAAGCCTACTAAACTTTATTGGAGGCAATCATAAAAGACCTGGCTAACGGGACTAGTCATGTGACTTACCTCTGCAGCCATCATGCAGATAAGGATCTTCTTGGTCTAGTTCCTCCTTTGAAATTTCAACTAAAAAGAGGAGAGAGAGGCAGTAGAAGAGAAAGCACTTTTCTTCTAACAGTAAAAAGCTGCCTGCTTGGGATGGGGTTCAGAACAGAGCTTTGGGATACAACGGGACAAAATTAAAAACCATTATTTACATATTTTACAGCTATTTCATACTTTGACATTCAAATGCATATGCCCATGGGGCAATTTCCATCTGACCGATTCAGTATGAAAGTCATGCTGTGATCATAGATTATATATGGGCTGAGATTTTCAAATGCAAGTTCTTACCATTAGGCTTTTAACCAGAGCTTAACCTGATTTTCATAAAACATGTTGTTGAGGCATGCTTGATTTCCACTGACTATATATTAGCTTGGGGTACTTACAGTTTTAATGAAAATCAGATTAACCTCAGTTATTTATTTAGACTCCATTCCAAAAAAAATCCACACCCAACATTTGGGAACCTAATTATAGCATTCTTTCAAATATACTTTATGATCAGCAATATGTTTGCTTCATACATGTGTCTTGAGCGTTATTTTCCCCTATATGAAAGGCATAAAAGGGCTGGATACATCCACACTCTGAATCCCCTTCCTTGGCCAAAGAATTAGTTAATGGATTTCCCCAGTCCTCACTAATTTGAATACTTTGGGAATGGTAGGCTGGTAGTGATGTGTGTGTAAAAACACAATCTCAGAATTCTCTGGTTATTGAATAGGAAGCTTAGTCACATTTCAATACTTTTCCACATACCTTTCAACCCATGGTTACTTACAAGAAAATACAACACCATGGATGTGGAAGCAAGTTTGTGTGCAGAAGATTGAGTTGATACACAGACCCCTCAAGCCATAAGGGTGCATTTTGATCACATAGAAGCTATTGTAAATAGTTTGCTCAAGTCTGGTCTGACTTGATAGAGTACTTTTGGGACATAGTACCAGAGATTTGTCTTTATGTGACCAAGAAGGTATCATACATGGAGTCACTCTGTCTTATCCTGTGCAGCATAACCCCTGTATGCCTTGCTATTGCACAATACAATCACAAGGTGCTGTATTACAAAACAAAAGAAAGGTGTCTATTCTTGTTGTTTGCACTGCCTGTCTTTGACACAGATTCTTTGACTTACAGGATATCTGACATATGTTCAACCACATGGCTGTCTCTTAGCTTAGTGATGAGAATTTTGTCCTGCCCTGCTTGCTGATATCTTCACATTGAGGGTCTTTGTAACTGCCAATTGCCCACAGAATTAAGTGGGGAAATACTGCACATTGTATTTTGCAATTCTGCATTTTATTGTACTGATACATTTCTTCTGCCATGCAAATAATTTGAGTCTGCAAATTCTTAGTATAGACACAGTAAACTAGGTGCAGGATATCTACCCTGCAGTTACATACCCTCCAGCCAGAACAAATGGACAAGGGCAATTTCCCTGCTGTGAGAGCAGTACACAAAGAAATTGGCAGGCTATTTCTAAAGGTTACTTGATAAGGATGTACACTGACATAAGCAAAATTTCAAAGATCTGAAACAAGTCTGAGAACACACTGGCTCCGGCACACTAGTGCAAGTTGTTGCAGTGGGGTTTAAGTAGTCCATTTTTATAATTTGCTACTGATGATCTACAGGCTAGAGCACATATTTTCAGTGCTCAGCTGTCCATGAAGGGGGCAACATTCTACAGCATGATTTTTCTGCAGTTTCAGTTAAGTCTGTTGAGTGAAAGATAAAAAAAAAGACAAAAATAGGTCTGTTAAGATCAGTATGTCCATGCTGATTCTCTTCAGATCTGTGGACTAGGTATGTCAAGAAATGCTGCTGTCTAGATCTCCTCCTCCTCTGACAACATCAAATAAATGCAGATACAATGTTGTCTAGAAATGATCAGTGCTCCCAGCATTTCAAATCTGTGGGCACATGTCTCACACAAAAAGCAACATTTGAATTCCACACATATGGCAATTGTTTAGCTTCTTGGAATATACATTTCAGCCATCACTAGACAAAAAATGAGTTCCAATATACATGCATCATTAAATTGTCAAAGGAGATCTCAAATTAGAGGAATTGCAGCAGAAATTCTTTCAAATACAAGTGCTCTTTCTATCCCATATCATTTTCTGTCTCAGTCTTTTATAATTTGCAATATAAAATACCTTGTTCCTTTTTAGGAGCATCATCACTGATGGACACATCTGTGCCTTCTTGACCCTTCACACAACAAGCTCTGAAGACAATTCCACACTGGTATCCTATCTTCAGGTTGGGTTCACAGCTCTGGCCTTGAACTTGGGCAGTCTTTCCCAGTAGACAACAGTAACAACATTTCTATTTTAAAAATATAAGAGAGTCACATCTTAGCCCCAAACAAATCACTAGAAGTTTTCTCAGTAGTATAAAGTGTTATCTCACCTTGGCAAACTGATCAAAATTTTTCTGCAAATTCTTCAACAATTTCTGCTATACTTAGCCTCAGATATATTAATCTGTAGTTGAATTCAGCAAGCTCTGGATCTGCTTACATAGAGCCAAACTTAGTACTTGGATCTAGATCTCATAAAATAATGTGTATATGTGAATGTTTTACACAAATACACCAGTATGGTGTTGTGGAGGATCAGAACTGTCCACCCATGTATATGGAATTACATGGTTCTCTGCCTGCATACCCTAGTTGCAAACGCCAGTGAACAGCTGGAACTCTCCGTGTCCCTTTTGTTTCTAGTTCCTTAAATTGGGGCACAATCAATAAAGTGCGTCCTTCTCAAAGCTAACAGACAAACAAGCAACCAAGCATGATTCATCCAAAGCTAGACTTAACTGGCCAGAAAAAGAAGCTACTCAGCTCTGAAAAACAAACCACATTGTCTAATATCATTTAAGAGCATTAAGTACTGACATGACTTCCAGCAATTAAACACGACCCACACCTTCCAGACTTGCTGAACTACAGCCCAGGAATACACCACAGAAGTGAACACAGGGGAAGTTACTCCTCTGTACATTTATTTCATTTTTTTTTTTTTTAATTGAGGAGACACTGCTAACTTATTTGCTGTTCTTTCTAGCTGTTAGAAAGTGGCAAAAATATTTGGTTCTTTGGAATTGTTATCTGCTAACTGCTACTGTCACGTGAAAACCAGGTTTAATCTCTTATTATTAAGTTTATTATTCTTCCAGACTCTTTTTTCCCTTGAAAAAAGAAGAGTGGCCTGCAACATCAACAGAGCAGATGGAATAAACAAATAAACAGCAAACCAGATTTCTGTAAATTTAAGCACCTCACTTACTGAAAAGAAGTTAACCACTACATTACACTGCATTACTTTCACTACTTTGGACCTGCCTATATTCTCAGTTTTCCCATAGAGGGCATCGTATGCATGTTTTTCTCATTACATGACAGTAAAATGCTCATTTAAAGCACAGAGTATCATGAAGGTAAAATAATTTAAAAATTTTTCCTTGTTTTTTCTTGGTTTCTCTTGGTTTTTCTTGTTGGTTTTTCGTTGGTTTTATTTGTTTGGGGTTTTTTTTTGGTGTTGTTGTTGTTGTTGTTTTTCAGTGGCAGATGCTCTTCTTCATCACCAAAATGTCTGGGATATTTTCATATTCTGGATTATGTTAGAAATAAAGACTTGATCTCTTTTTTCAAGAATTCCCACATTTCTGAATATTTATTTTGCCTAACTTGTCTAATACTTTCCTGAGGCATCCTTCTCGAAGTTTTAAACATGTCTAAAATTTTGGTGGATTTCCAATTTTTGCAAACATTTTTTACAATACAGAAATTCAAACTGAGCTGAAGATTGCTTGGCTTAAGATTATGTATTTTTGACAACCAAATGTTGAATTACAGCTGACAATTTGCCAAACTGTCCTATTACACCCTTCTGGATATCCTCACTGGCTTCTAACGTTAGGTGTATGAAGTAACTCACATCTAATTATTTGTCTTGTCACAGAATGCTCAAACTGGGAAGAGTTCCTCTGGATGTTTTTGTAGGGACTGATCATTTATCTTGCAGTTCTTGAAGTGCTGAATAACCTTATGTTCTTTATCTCCTTCAGGCTGAGACAGCACCTACTTAAAAAATCTCTGTCTCCAGCTAATGTGAATCTTCAGCTGCAGAACCTGCTATGTCTCGCAGTGTCTGTGAGAAACGGAATCCTCATTTAAAATAATTGCATGCATTGAAACATTTGTTCAAGCCTACATTTATTTTAACTGAACACTATCCATCTTGATTTAAAGTCTTGATAATAATAATAATTTAGGTTCATGTACCATGGCAAAATTATCTAGACATGATAAGAGTCAAATATTTTCTTAACTGATGTTTAATGTAGGTGGCTTTTATTACTGACCCAAGAATATTTTGTACTGGAAGTTCTAAAGCCTAAGATTCCTTGTTCAGCTACAGAAGTAAGATGATGTATACTTTCATAATCCTCTACAGACATCATCTGCAAACTCAAAAAGTCATTTAATTTTCCTTTTTTCTTTCAGTTCTTCCATCATGGAATGGTAAGATAGCAGCAATAAAGCTTGTTTAATTGATATTAATTGAGCACTCCATTACGTCAAGACACAAGGCATTATGTCACTAAAACACACATTATGTCATTATAGCACTACCCTGATAAAATTAATTTCAATATTTTCTTTTTCACACTAATTTTTTCCACGGTTGTTAATTTATTTTTATAGTCTTTAATCCTTTAGACTGAAATGCAGCCTAGAGTCAGTATTAGTTCTGTTCTTAATGTATTTGCAGCTTTTTTCCAAAGGCTGCCAGCTGTCTAGAGGCATTTACTAATTTGCTAGAACCACTGCATGCCACATTTTCTCTGCCTCTTAAGTTTTTGCATTTTAAGTGATCCTAATAATAGTCTCAAACATCTTTGCTTTGCCTCTCAACTGTAAAAGCCCATGCAGCATCAAAGACATGACTTGATCTTCACACTAGGATTGGATCAGATGACCTCCAGAGGCCCCTTTCAACCTTATACTTTCTGTGATTGAAAGCTGTGTCCCACCTTTATTCCTATGATCCCTCCACTGCTCCTGTATTTTGCCCTCTCACCAAAAGGAACAAGTACATGCTGCAATGCCACTTGTTTTAGAAATGAGCATTTACTGTACTGTCCTGATAGCTGGTGTTGACTGCATTGAGTGAAAAATAACCAGTGTCTAAGAACATGAAAATGAACTTGCATATATATTTAAGTCCAGCAACAGGTGCTTACGAAAAGTCTGAAGTTTTATTTTCATTTGACTAGAAATCATCTGAAATTTCTGTCTCTGATAATTTTTCTTGATTAGTTACATTTGATAATGATCTTTACTGTTTATGTCATTGTTTAAGGTACCAAAACTTGAAGAGTAAACCGTATACTAACACTGCTTTTTTTTATGTCTGTCCACAAGAGGTCTCTCACTTGCTGAAATCTGGACTAATCTGTAGATGGCTATGAGAAATGGTCAGAAAAAATACATGCAATTCAGTGGAATTTTGCAGAATTTTTGAAGAGATGAACAGAAATTAAAACTATGTTCAGCAGGCCAAAGTAATGAAAATGCTAAGCTCAACTCATATATAGAAATAAAATATTTTTGTCAAAATTTGAGAAAAATGAACCTTGATCTTTGGAAAAAGAAAGCACCTATGATTTGGAGAAGATATCTAAGCATCCTAAAGAACGTGAAATATCTACAAATTTCTCTCCTTTCAAGGAGCTGCACAGGTAGAAGCTTTCCTAACTCCATTTCTAAATCACCTCTATCAGCAGTAAAACCTGCATTTGTTCACAATCTTTTGAGGAATGTTTTAAAGATTTATTATTAATTTTGCATTCATTTTTTTAAGGCAAGAGAAGTTGTAATACCAAAAACCTGAAGAAGCAGAATTATGTCCATTATAACCTATCCCTACAGCCAAAGTACAAAACTTGAGGGAAATGTTTTCACAACATGGCCTTTTTATCTTCTTTCCAGTGGCAAGTTTTTGATTCAAAACAAAACTAGCTGCCTCATTTGATCCAGTAATCCTAACAGTGATTAGTGATCCTGGCAGTGTTCAAGAGGCATCTGGATGAGGAGCTACGAGATATGGTTTAGTGCTTGTGGCAGCAATGATAATGGATGGACGGATGGATTAGAGGATCTTGTATGTTCTTTCCAATCTTGTAATTCTATGATTCTTTGATTCTAATAAATGAAATACCAAACCACTCTTTCTGTTTTCTTGAAGGAGACAAAAGACCCAAAAGAATTCCTGTGCTATTTAAACTAAACTAAAATGGACCATCCTAGGCAAAACGAGATCCAAATCCATGTGAGATAAGCTTGATGTGAATGTCAGTTTACCACAGCAGAGTATAATAACCAAAAATACTAACTGAACCCAGATAATCAGGTGCAAAATAATATCAGCAAAAAATTTACCATCCTGGATTAAATAGATTATTTACAATATTAGTACTAAAGCTAGACATGTGCATGTTGATATTTGTATTAGGGAACAGAAAACAGAATGTTGCTCACAAATGTTACATATCACTGATAATGTTTATACAACCAAATTAAACAGGGACAGAACACGGGCTCAGACATTAGCCCACAATCTTCTCTACCATTTAAGTATTAGCAAGCTCTAGTGACTACTGACATTCTCTTGGACAGCCCTGAAGCATATTTTGGGGTTTAACAAAGGTCAGAAAATGTTCACAACTGCCTATACACATGCATTTTGCTGGGGGAAGACTTCACTTACGTGACATGAACTATGCAGAGTTATTTATTCCCTGGGCTAAAGATCAAGGCCCAGCTTATTTTAGTCCATTTTATTTAATAACACAGCTGTCAACATAAAAACCTGACGTCTTTAAAGAAGCCTGTACTTATTAAAAAAAACAATCACTAATACTTCTTCCTCATGCTGACAAGACAACATATGGAAACACCAATCAATAGATAGGAAAGTGATTTTCCTTGAACAGTTGTATTCTGTTTTAGAGTTGTGCTTTGTCATGTGTTTACAATTGTACTGCTATTATAAACATATCTCTAACAGCAAGCACTTGAATCAGCAGAGTACTTGCCATCCCAGTCCTTGTTCATTCATTCCTTGTCTCTCAGTGTGATGAAATAGAGGGCTAAATATTTTTTCCATATTCCAAATGTTTTCCATATTGTCCATGTTCATACGGACAAGCTTCTTAATGGTACAAGAATCTCTATGTACCTGCCCTTGACAGAGCAGGGCGTATCCTGCTCGTGGTCAACAAGTGAGAGATGTCCCCTCTGTGGTTCTGTTATCTCATGAATAAGAAATCGTGATGTATGTGCAAAAAAGTCTGTGGCGAGCCATTGCCAGACTCAACAGAATATGTTACAATTCTTCTACTCACAAAGAGAATGTGAATTACTTCACAGCCCCACCATCAGTGGGGTCTTACTGCCAGGAACACGGTCCATTCAGTCCATTCAGAGAGCAATGCTATTTTTGAGTTAGACATTTTCTGCCATCCTCTATATAATATAGATGGGTTTTGTTTAAACTGAATTATTAGCCAGTGTGGGTTCATGAAAGGCAGGTCCTCCTTGACCAGTATGATCTCCTTCTGTGATAGAGTGACCCATCCGGTGGATGAGGGACAGGCTGCCAATGTAGCCTACCTAGACTTCAGCAAAGCCTTTGACAGTGTTTCCCACAGTATTCTCCTGGAGAAGCTGGCAGCCTGTGGCTTGGTACACACTTTGCTGGGTAAGGAACTGGCAGGAAGGCTGGGCCTAGAGAGTGGCGGTGAAGGGAGTTAAATGTAGCTGGGGAGCTGGACTCCCCCATGGGTGGCTATTGAGGCCAGTCCTATTTAATATCTTTATTGATGACCTGGACAGGAGGATTGACTGCACCCTCAGTAAATTTGCAGATGACAACAAAGGGAGGCCCTCCAGAGGGATCTGGACAGGCTGCATTGCTGGGCTGCAGCAAGTGGGATGAAGGTCAATAAGTCCAAGTGCCAGGTCCTGCACCTGAGCCACAAAAACCCCAGGCAACACTACAGGCTTTGGGCAGAGCAGCTGGAAGACTGTGTGGAAGAAATGGACTCTGGGGATACTGGTTGGTGCTCAGCTGAACATGAGCCAGCAGTATGCCTAGGTAGCCAAGAAGGCCAGCGGCATCCTGGCTTGTATCAGAAATAGTGTTGCCAGCAGCAGCAAGGAAGTGATTCTCCTCCTGTATTCGGCACTGATAAGGCTGCATCTTGAGAACTGTGTTCATTTTCAGGCCCTTCTGAGCAGAGAAGCGCAACAAAGCTGTGAGGGGTCTGGAGCACAAGTCTTATAAGGAGTAGCTCAGGGAACTGGGATTGTTTAGTCTGGAGAAGAGGAGGCTCAAGGGAGATCTTATATCTCTCTACAGCTACAGGACAGGAGGTTGTGGTGAGGTGGGGATCAGCCTCTTCTTCCCCATAAGCAGCAATAGGACAAGAGGGAATGGCCTCAAGTTGCACCAGGGGTGGTTCAGTTTGGGTATTAGGAAAAACTTCTCACAAAAAGTGGTCAAGCACTGGAAGGGGCTGCCCAGGGAAGTAGTTGACTCACAGTCCCTGGAGGTGTTCACTAAATGTTTAGATGTTGCACTAAGGGACATGGTTCAGTGAGTGGTGGGAGGACAATTGGACTGGATGATCTTGGAGGTCTTCTCCAATCTCAATGATTCTATGATACCAAAACATTCAGCATTTTTGAGTAGTCTGAAGTAGTAAAATCACTCTCACATTTTCACCATCACTGAATGAAATCTATAACAGGACCAGACTGTCCGGGACTGGGTCATGGTCAAAGTTTCAGACTTACTGATAGAACTTTCTTCCAAAAACATTCTACAGAATGGTAAGACTATGATTACTTTCTTTTTTTAAAAAAAGGAGAGACAGTAATAAAGGTGGAGATAGAACACATAAAGATGCCACTGATAGGCATTTTTATTCTAGTATCAAATATTGTTATTACAAGCTTACAGATGTCTCATATTGTAAATCAAAGTCAGCTATCTAAAGATATGTACACTAATTAAAATTATAAAGTGCGCTTTGAGGATTTATTCAGTCCTGCCCCCAGGACCACCATCTTAGGCAATGAAACTAATGGAAGCTGAAGCTGATATGAGTCTGAGTTTCATACCCATCCCTTCCTACACTGTGTTGATGCAAAAGTAGTTTCCTAGCCAATTATCCATTTGAGACTCTCCACCCTTTTGTATTTACCATCTGTCTTCACTAAAATATAATTAAGTAGACTGCTTTGCCCAAAGAGGGACTGTTCTCTCAAAGAAGCACAAAGCTCACTGTCTTAACTGAGACAAGAGGCGTAGGTGGGGAAGAACTGTTTACATGCATCAGGACTGAGTACAGTGACCTGTGGGATCAACCTTAATACTAATCTAGTTAATATAATTTCTGAAGAGATGAACAGGAGTAGCTCTGATATCTCACCTTAAAGTACTCAGCTTCACAGGTGGAATTTTCATCAATGTGTGAGTCACACTCCTCACGCACGCTGGCAAATTCAATCCCATCTGAACAGTAGTGCTCCTCCAGTTTGCTGCGACAACACTGCACCTGAGTCATGCTGACAGAAGCATGGGAGAAGAATGTCACATGTAAGTTAAGAACAGATAGTACAGCTGGGTTTGGCAATTAGCACTTGTACTAATCACGTGGAAAGAGGTTCCTGTGGACATTCACGAAATTTCACAGAGTGAAAATATTTTTTAGGCATAGGCAGAATGTCTAGGTGACTTGTTTAATAGTTAAGGTAATATGTGTAATACAATTAAACTCTCTGTCTACCTCGCAGTTTCTTACAATAGTTTTTGAAGTAAATGCATAACTTCAACTACATTTGCCACAGTACTCAATCTGGTAAGCATTATCACAGCTGGAGACTAAACAGAGAATGATAAGAATCCAGTCAGCACCTCCCATTAATGGAAAAGGGAAGTCAGGCTCTGGACACTAAGAACCCACAATCCTATGGCCAATCGACATCAGCATTTGCTGATCATTGCTCAAACAAGTCCAACATACTGAAGGAGGCTCAGAGAGTCACGCTGTGGGAGAAATGAAAATATGGCATGGACTCAACATACTGAGGACAGTGAGAAACAGAGTGTACTGCAATAAAGAGGAGAAGAAAGACAATGAAGAAGGAAACTCAGTTTTGGTAGTTCTGCTGCTCATAAAATCATTTCCTCTCCATTTCATTGAATGAGCTGAAAAAATGTCTCCTCCTTCCTGCAGAAAAATTCTGAGCAAGCAGACTTTAAACTCTACTACATCTGTCGCCCACTCAAGGAGACAGGTCCCCTGTCATCACTCCTCTAATGTGCAGCTCTGTTCTATGGGCTAGCACTGTCAGTAGAGCTTGAGGCTTAATGCCCTCCCACCACTACCACCTGTAACAAACAGCAGAGAACAGGAAAAAAAAAAAAAAAAGAGAAACAAATCAGACTACACACAAGATATAAACACAAGACATAAACATACCCATCAGTTTTCTGAAAACGCTGCTCACTGTGAATAAAGTTGCAGGACTTTCTAAGGGGAAAGGAAACTTTCCCAAAATAATCCAAGCCTCTAAAATAATTCTATTTCTCGTCCAACAGAAGCACGTAAAAGGCATGCCCAGGTATATTAAAGCTCTATAAAAAATATACAGCATGGGAAGCTCTGCATATCTTACAGATCAATGGCATTGAATACATTAATATGATGCTTGGACTGCTTTGCTGTGCATGCTGGTAAGGCAAGGATATCAAGCTACATTCCTGGAGATTTCTAATTCTTATTTACTGGATTTTGTAATGGTCTGACAGTGCAGTTCTCACATGGACAAAAACAGCTATGGAATTTCAAGGCATAGGAACAAAAGGCAAACTTCATGAACAAATTATTCAAAAATAGACTCTAAAGTCATAGCTAGAAGTTATGCCCAGTACGGTAACTTTATTGGCAGAATATATGAAGTTTTTGATATTTGATTTAGTTCCAGTCTGGAAGAACATGCAGCTTTTTTGTTGCTGCGATTCCCTCTGAAGCAGAATTTCCAGTCCCTGCCCAGCTCCGAGGTGGTCTGCCTGTCAGGGCTCTGCAGGACTGTAAAACCTGAGCTTCAGGCCTAAGAGTGGGGGAGCTGAGACTTTACAGATCCTCTTAGTTGAGGAGCTAGAGATGTTGGCCACAGACAAACAAACAAATAAACAATCAGCAGCAGTCTTTCAGTAGATCTGTTTGATTTCCAGTGTAGCATTTTTTTTTCTCTTTTTCTTTTCTTTTTCAAATACAAGACATCTCTTTGAAATCCCTGACAAATTGGCAATTGCAACCCAAACAAAAAAGTTTCTCAAAATGTTTCCCACAGCTGTATTCGTAAGTCATGTGGCCCACCCCAACTGTAACAAGGAATTTCCAATTGAATGGAAATACTAGATTAAAATGCCATTTATTCATTCTCAAAACAACAACAATAAAATTACACTTAATTGCCCGAATCCTACAGTGAAGCTACATTGGTCACAAATATTGCTTGAGACTGTAAACACTTGTATGGCTATAATAAAGGCACAAACCCTTGAAAGATGGCAGAGAAAAATGTTACAGAAATTGTACATTACTGGTCTTAACCTTGATTTTGCTCAGTCCACCTGACCAGCCTTCTTCCTCTGCTCAGCAGCTCCCACGCTGGTGAACTTTATGGTCCCTCCCTATATGATCCTTAAGGTCCCTCCCAACCCACGCCATTCTTTGGTGTCTACAGCATGTCACCAGAAGCAATTTAGACTCAAGACTTTAGAGATTAAGATTCTTCCTCCTTACCTTTGCTAAGCTATGTTTTCCCCTAGCTTAGACCCTAGTATGATCCACACTCACTTTCTACTTCACAGTAAAGGAACCAACTGTAATGGTTAGTAGGACATCCAGATTTGTCTCTCTGCAAGGAAAAAAAAAACTTACCCTGTTTAGTACTTCTGAAAAAATAAATTAGGGAAGTACTTTACTGGTTTTGTTTTTGGTTTTGTCTGTTTTCTTTTGTTTTGTTTTTAATTACTCCTAGTGATTAAAAAAAAAACTACTTCCTTCTCTGCTTTATTCTGATTTTCACTTAAAACAGCATAAATAAACTTTACTGAATTAGATTCTTATAATATGCATTTTCAATGTGGCTAAAATCTTACTAGGATGGGAAGCATTACATATGGGATATCTAGGACCATGTGGCATCATAACTAATACTCAGGATATTTCAGCTAATATCATGCATATTCTAGTCTCTGAAAGATGGATCACTAACAGATATTACTTAGATCTTTAGAAAATACATATTCTCTGTAGAATAGATATTCATTTAAAATTTAATTTATTCCATTATAAGATAATTAGATCATAAATAAAGTTAAGAAATTAAGCTGATGCAGAAGGGATCAGGAGCACATGTAGGTAAAGCATAAGCAGCAGAAGCAGAGATGGGTGGCCTAGGAAGAATATAGGAATGCTGTCTGGACATGCAGAGAGGGGATCAGGAAAGCCAAGGTGCAGGAGGAACAAAACCTGGCAAGGGATGCGAAAAATAACAAAAAGGGTTTCTGTAGAAACGTTGATCAGAAGAGACAGGCAAAGGAGAATGTGCCCACTCTGATAAATGAGGAGCGAAAACTGGCTACAACAGAGATGGAGAAGGCTGGCAGTCAGTCTTCCCACACCTCTCATTATCCTGTACCTTAGGTGGGGTTTGGGGGAGCAAAACCCCTCCCACTGTAAGAGCAGAGCAAGTCCAAAATTGTCTCATGAGACTAAATGTGTATCAGTCTATTGGGCAGATGATATGCATCCCAGGGTCCTGAAAGAATTGGCTGATGTGGTTGCCAAGCCACTCTCCATCGTATTTAAAAAAATCATGGCTCTCAGGTGAAGTCTTTGGTGAGTGGAAAAAGGAAAACATCACTCTCATTTTCAAGAAAGGGAGAAAGGAAGACCAAGGGAACTATAGGCTAGTAAGCCTCACCTCTGTGCCTGGGGAAGTAATGGAGTAGATCCTCCTGGAAGCAACATTAAGGCACATACATGATAAAGAGGTCATCTGAGACAGCCAGGACGGTATTATCAAAGGGAGATCATGCCAGACCAATCTGAAGGTCTTCTACGATGAAGTGACAGCATCAGTGAACAAAGGAAGTGTAGCTGATGACATCTACACGAACTTCTGCAAGGCTCCTGATGTGGTCCTGCACAAAATAAACTGTTTTCTAAATTGAACAGATGTGGATTTGAAAGCTGGACTATTTGGTGAATAAAGAATTGGTTGGGTGGTCACAACCAGAGGGCAGTTGTCAGTAACTCTCTTTTCAAGTGGAGGCCAGTTACAAGTGGTACACTCCAGGAGCCCATCTTGGGACTGGTGCCCTTCAGCATCTTCATCAGTGATACAGACAGGGGGATTGAGCGTATCCTCAGCAAGTTTGCATATGACACCAAGATGCGTGGTACAGTTGACACAATAGAAGGAAGGAATGCCATCCAGAAGAGGAGAACTTTCCCAGACAGGAGCCCCGACAAAAAGGACTTTTGGGTCCTAGTGGATGAAAAGCTGGACTTGAGCCTGCAATGTGTACTTTTAACTCAGAAAGCCAATCGTATCCTGGGCTGCATCAAAAGAGGGCTGGCCAGCAGGGACAGGATGGTGATCGTGTCCTTCTACTCTGCCTCCATGAGGCCTGACCTGGATTGAGTACTGCATCTAGGTTTGGGCACTCAGCAAAAGAAAGGTGCAGAACTGTTGGAGCTGATCCAGGGGAAGGCCAAGAAGATGATCAGAGAGCAGAAGTACCTCTTCTCTGAAGACAGGTGGAGAAGAGCTGGGATGGTTCAGCTTGCAAAAGAGAAAGCTCAGAAGAGAAGGCTCCAGTACTTGAGCGAAGCTTAAAAGATGGAGGCAGACTGACTTTTTACACAGTCTTATAGTGACAGGATAAGGAGGAATGATTTTAAATTAAAAGAGGCAAGATTTTAGATTGGATGATACACATCTAAACCAGTTTAGATTTCCTAATTACTTATTTTTCTATTTCTTTCCATAAAAACATTATAACAATTTTGCACTGAAAACAGTTTATTTATTGTCACCCTCACTTAAGCTACAAAATCTGTTCATTAACCTCTCCATCTCTCCTGCCTGTTGGCCTTCAAAATATGTAGGTGCTAGACATACATCTATATAGCTTACATAACGAAAGGCCTTTGAAAAAAATAATTTAAAAGTAAACCAAACTGATCCCATTCTAGAATTATTTTGCAAATACAAGCTGAATCTTCCACCTTTCATCCTTTCAGCTAAAAGTTTAACATGCTACACAAGCAAGAGCAAGATCTGATATTATGAATGGTACACGACAGGTGTAAGTAAAGGGTTCCACAACAATTAAAAATACGTTTGATCACATGTTGCAGGTTAGCAAGGGACTGAAAAGTCATTGAAAAAGCCTCAAAATTAATCAGCCTCGAAATTAATCAGCTGTAGTCCATATCTAAATTTTGTAATTTACTTAATAAAAGTTTTCTTGAAGGAAAGAGGTAAAATTATACTTGATGCCATATATTAATTAGAGAAATGATACTGATAACTTTGTGGCAGAAAAAGGACTGATTCTGCCTTTATTCATGTGATGAATTAAGCAAATCATCCTACATGAGTGGCAGTAAAACTCTGACAGCATAACATTGTTCTTCTATCCATCTGATTGCAAAGCAAAAAATGACTGAGGCACACTTAGAAAGCTAACGAGAAGAGACGACAAATTTCTCAAGAAGTAAACAGCTTTCTCAGACACAAAACTGTCATGATTTTGATGTCTGAAGTCTCAGGCTCTTCCAGGATTTCAATGGCATAAATCAACAACCATCTACCAGCACTTAAACATCTGGTTCCTATCACTTCAAGCAGTCATGCCTTATTACTTCCTTGTGTTCCTATTTGGGTTTGAATTCAAATGCTGCTGCTGGTCTCTGCTTGGGAACATGGATCACCTTTTTGCTCTGTTTGTGCACAGCAAATAGCAGTGTGTTGTGTATCTTTTTCTTTTTTTTTTTTTAATGCATTCTTGCAAAACTGATTGTGAATAATATTATTCCAAATGTAATTCCAAAAAACTTTACGCAATGCTAAAGGCAAGCAATTGTCAAGTGAAGATATGCTATTTCTGGCACAGGAATTATGTTCATTTGCTAAAAGTTCTGAGAGGGGGAAACTCTACATTTTGAAAGGAAGATTTATTGGTCAGACTGAGTTTCCAAAAAAAAAAAAAAAAAAAAAAAAAAAAAAAAAAAAAAAAA